TTTGGCCTATCCTGCTTTAAAAACGTTGGTTTTGATTGTGGCCGTCCTCAGGAACAGAACTGCTGACCACCATGGCAAATATATTTGGTTTTAAGTGTGTCCATAATAGCTGTGTTGCATCATCTCCACGGTTATTTTAAAATTTCTCTCAGTGACTCTACATTATTAATAAGATGTCTGTGGAATGGTCTAGAAAAATCATCCCTGTGTTGACCTGGACTCCATTGTTCCCTCTGTGACCAGAGCAGAGCAATCTGATGGCACTTTGTGTCTTCTCTTTGTGCTCCTGGCACTGCCGGCACCAGCTGGCACGAAGTTACATCCACGGGGTGTCAGGAGGGGAGAATTTCTCTTTGGAAGGGCAAAACAGATAAAATGACCCAGGAAATGGAGAGTGAGTGCTGGGCACTGGTTGGAAGCTCACTGCAACGAGCAAGAAACTCAAGCCTGTGAGCACAAATATGCTCTAGGATGAATTCAAACGGTTGCTCACTGTACCTCTACAAAAAAACTCCACAAATAAACTATCACTTCACTGGGTGATGGATTGTATGTGAATTTTAAAAAATACTCACATGCTACAGGTTAGAACAGGGAAATATTTTGATGCTTTCCTCTAGAGAATTCCAAGTGTTTAAATAAGGTTAATATTCCTTTTGTCATTTTAAAGATAGGAAAATAGAAACACGGAAGAGAGTGCCATGATCCCTTAGCTACACAACAGTAGGGCCAGGAGGGGAATCACTCTGAACAGCAATAAGAGAATTTAAATAATTACAGTACATTTGCATAACATTCATAGAATAGATTACCCAGCAAGGGTAAAAGCAAAGGAAGCTGGAACTGAAGATGTGGCTTGGTGTGCCATCAAAGCTGTGGGCTGGGAAATAGATCACAAGAGTCTCTGGTACCTAAGAGAGCTTATTTTTAAGGACTGGCTGACACAAAGCCCATTTCCACAGGAGTTACTGGGGCACATCTTCCCAGGCTGCTGTAAGGCCCTGCTGGCTGCACCTGCCCCGCAGGGCCACGGCCAGGACACACCACTGTCACCCTGAAGGCATCTCCTCCCAGGACACACCACTGTCACCCTGAAGGCATCTCCTGTCACCCAGCAGCCCAGCCGTGCCCTCCAGAGGCAAGGGAAGCCTCGCAGAGACAGAGGGATGAGCTCACGTGTGGCTCACTGATTTTATTGCCAGTGGCAAGACAAAGGTGCCCTGCACTCCCCAGGCAGTAACTTCAGGGTGCCATTGCCTGAAAGGTACAGTCACTTCTTAAATGCCAGGGAAGGGACTGGTGTGCTTGAGGCTGTTGGAACAGTATTTTGGAACACACCTTGTCAAAGGCTAATTTAAAAAGCAACGAGGGTACATTATCCTCACCAAATGGTAACCTGAGTTACCATTCTGGTGCTCTGTCACCTTGAAACATTTCCTGAAGGGCTTCATGGCCCTTCATGTCCCACATCTCTCTTTCCTATTCAGGGTAAGGCACTCAGGCCTGATCTCCTTTTTGGGGACACCAAATTTGACTTATGGCTTTATGGCACATAGGTTACACCCTTTTTAATCAAGGCAAAATATTATTTCATTGGATGGCAACCTGGAACACACTCTGGCAGAGATCCTTGGGAAAGAGCAAGAGATGCCTTTTCCCCATAGCCATAGAAAGATGAGCTGTGTCAGATGTTCAGAATTTCTATACCTGCTGATAGGGAACAAGCAGAAGGACAAGGAGACCACCTGAACAGAACAGTTACATTAAAATATTTTGTGGTGTTTGAGAGCCTGAGTAGTTTTATCCTTGAGACCACAGGAATGTCTATGCAAAAGAAAAATTCACCACTGGATTTCAACCCTCTATGATTTTTACCAAAGTTTACTTTAAAATTAACATCTATAACCTGTTTAAATTTGAGGGTTTTGTTATTCTTTAAAATATTTTTATGGAGTTTTGTAATTTGGATGCCATTCAACTCTTGACTGTGTTCTGAAACCAAAGAAGAATTTGCCCTATCCATCTTAGCCTCGTAATGGATAGATAGAACATATTAAGAGTTATCACCTCAAAGACAGATCAAAGTCTACTTCCTTTGATATTGACTTTCTTTAAAAGGACCTAAATATAACCTGCTAGCTAAATAATTCAATTTTCGGAGGGAGGGAAGGAACTGAGAGCATGTTTACACAACAGACCACAACAACTCTGCAATTTTCTAATTTCTGTGAGAAAAAAACTCCTTCTCACATTTTCTGTTTAAGGAAATGTTACTGTTTGACTAGAAGAGACCAAACCTGCCAGCCAGCCAAATGGACTCTCACTGCCAGAAGTGGCAAACACTTGCCTGCATCACTGACAGGAAGGGCTCAGCTCAAGGAACAGAAACAATGAGCTAATCTGAATAAATGCTCCATTTTCAGATGTCTCCCAATGTTGTGCAGGGGGCTTTTCACCTCCTCTACTTGAGCCACTCTGATTATCAAAGGTTTTGAAAGGCAGGGTTTTCAAACCGAGCTGAGCTCTTCTCTTCCTCTTCTTTCCTTCCCTACCTAAGCTCTGGATAACACCTACCATGTGCACTGTGTGATAAAACACACGCTCAGTCTTCTCCAGGCTCCAGAGCAGAGTGGCAAGGCTGTGCCTCTGTGTTTCCTGGGAGTGCCAGGAATGAGGGCCTGGGACAGATCCTGCCAGGGGGCTGCTCAGGGCCTGGAGACAGCCCATCCCCAGGGCTCCCCCAGCTGCTGGGGACTCCCCTGGCCCCTGTTCTCTGCGCTGCTGCTCTCCTCATCAAACATCCATGTTTCCTACCATGCTAAGCATTGCTTGGTGGGGCTTCTGGGTTCTAGAAACTTCATTTTACACGGAGAAGAGACAGAAACCTGGGATCCTTCTCGATGTGGAATGCAGTGCTGTGAGTGATAAGCTTTCAGTGGTGGCTCTAAAAAAGACTAGCCTGTACTTGGAAAACACATTCCTTGGTCTTTGCATTTTAAGTGGAATCAAAGAAATGTTGGGTAAATTTCACTGCAGTGTTTTGCAGGATGGGGGCATGAGAGTTTTAACCTCAGCCCCATTTCTTCAGGTATTTGCATTTGTTATTATTAATGCTGTTTTAGTTCAGAATTTGGATATATTTTGTACTGCTGCAATGACTGAAGGCATGGGAAATGGAAGTGGGATCTGTCAGTGGATTGGACCAGCGTTTGTGAATGCCCTGACATCTCAAAGCAAAACATACCCCCTCTTCCTCGTGGCACAGAGGTACCGCTGCTGTGGAAGGATTTTGTGTGGTGGGAATTTCTCACAGCGAGACTGATGACTGTGCCTGGGTCCCACCAGGCACAAACATCAAACCGACACCACTGGGGGTGCTTGCACCGCACAAGTGCAGTTCCAGCTCTGCTCAGCATTCTGGCTCTTCCTGCTGCCTTCAACAAGAGCCAGCCCCCTGTTTTCCCACCCCTAAGTACAAGAATGAGGTCCTGTGCACGCAAAGGGGAAGCTTTTTTGAGAGGATCTCTGCGAGCAGGGCTGTGAAATAGCGCGGTGGGAGCTGGCACACAGGGGAGCGAAGCACAGGCACACACTCTCAGCGCCCGTCCTGCCCGGCTGGCACGGCCGGGAGCTGTCCCCAGGCCCAGCCCGTGCCCGTGCCACCCCCGGGTGCCCCTGTGCCCTCGGGCGGGCGGCAGCAGAGCCGAGAGCACGTACCCACTTTGAGCTCCTTGCCAAAGACCGTCCGCTCGCCCAGGGCCGAGCAGTTCCAGCGCCCGTTGCGGAACTGGAACTGGCACTCGTTGATGCCCATCTGGGACCCTTCCCCGATGACAATGATCGCGTCGGGCCTGCTCTGGCAGATCGCCCGCTGCCGGGGGGCGAGCCCCGGGATCTTGTTACAGATGATGCTGGCTCCCAGGGCCACCACAGAGGAGAAACCCCTGCAACGACAAGACAGCGGCGGTGGCTGGGGGCAGGCCGGTCCCGGAGGCAGAGCAGCACCCGCTGCCTCCCGTGCTGCGGCTCCGGCGCCAGCAGGTGCCCCGGAGCGCGCCCGCCTTTCCCCTGTCCTTGCCCTCTCCCTGCCCCTCTCCCCAAGCCGAGGCAGAAATCGGCAGCGCGTTGGCTCCTGCCGAAACAGGACCAAACTTCCTCCTTCGAGAATTAAAGTGCGTGCAGCGGCATTGTCTGGGAGAGGGCTGGGAGGGTTGTCCCAAACCTTCCGAGCAGTTAGGGGAGAGAGGGAGCGAGGGAAAGAGGGAGAGAAGGAGAGAAGGAGGGAGGGAAGGAAGGGAAGGGGACAACCCACGCTCCCTGCCCCAGGGCCGTGCCGCCTCCTCCCGCACCCAGAGCACCTGGCCGGGGATGCTGCGGGTCCGGAGCGCCGCCGCCCTCCCTGCGCCCCTCCCGGGCGGGCGGCGTTGTCTCCCCGAGCGGCAGCGGCCGAGGGATGTCCCTGCGGGAGCCGCGGGCAGGTACCGGGTACCGGGCAGGGAGCGGCCGGGACACCCCGCACCGGGCAGGGAGCGGCCGGGACACCCCGCACCGGGCAGGGAGCGGCCGGGACACCCCGCACCGGGCCGCCGGCCGGGCTGGGGAAGGGCCGGCAGCCCGGAGACCCTCGCAGCCTCGCACATCGCGGGGGCCGCCGCCTCACCCCGATGGAGGGCTGCTCCGAGGTGCAGGCCCTTTACCTGTCTTTTGAGAAATAATCGTGATCTCCACCATCATCACTTTTTTTCTTTTTTTTTTTTTTCTTTTTTTTTCTTTTTTTTTTTTTTTTTTGAGACTTCTCGAGTTAAATAGTAACAGGTCTGGGCAGGTTGGGCTGAGCGCGAAAGAGAGCGCGATTGTTATAAAGGAAAGAAAAAAAAAAAAGTTACTTACCCGATCTTGATATACACAATCCCCAGGCTCAGGAAGATGTGGAAGATCCAGCGCCTTGTTTTCCTGTTCATATTCCTTGCTTGCCGTGGCTCAGACCAACACGCGAAACGATGCCCGGCGCGCTCGGGGCCGGGGCCGCTCCGTCGCTGGCGGTCACGGCCGGGCCGAGCGGGGCAGCCCCCGGCGCGCCCCGCAGCGCCCGCGGCTCCGCGCCGAGCCCCCGCCGCCGCTCAGCATGGCCCCGCCGGGGCTGCGCTCCGCCCGCGCTGTCCGGGCTGCAGGCTCCTGCGGGAGCCAGCCGCGTCCCCACCTTCGGTGTGAATTTGCTCTCTCTCTTCTTCACACAACCGAACCCCCCCACCCCTTTTTTTTTTCCTTTTTTTTTTTTTTTTTTTTTTCTGTCTCTTTCTGTCTTTTTCAGCTACTTGGGCGTGTTCTCCAAAGGAGGGAGTTGTCCAGCTGGGGGGGGGGAAGAGAGGCGGGGAGGTGGGCAGGAGGGGAACAGGAGCGGCAGAGGGATCACCTGCCTGCGGGCAGGCTCAGCGCGATCCTCCTCTTGCGGGCACGGCCCGGGGGAACGCGGCGGGGGCTCCGGGGGGTGTCACCGGGGGACGCCCCCGGGGCTGGCCCCGGCCCGCCGGGCGGCATTGGTGGCCCGCACCCCGCGCTGCTCCGCGCCGGCAGCGGGGCCGCAGCTTTGACTCCGCGCTCGCCGCCCGCTCGCCGGGGCCGCCGAGCACCTGGGGCCGGTTTTATGCGTTTGTCCCGACGCTCCTCCCCCCGGTCTGCCTCCCGCGTGTCGCGGGCTGTCCCGCAGCCTCCCGGTCCCCGCGCCGAGCTGAGCCCCGGGCGGCCGCGGCATTCCCGGAGCGCCGCTCCGCCCGCACCGGGGGCTCGGCGGGGCAGGTGCGGGGGGAGCCGCCGAGGGGGAGCCCCGTGTGCCCGCAGGGACCTCCCCGCCGCTTTTGCGGCCGATCCTTCGGTGACAGGGCAGGGCTCGGTCCCCGTGGCAGTGGGCGCACGGCCGTGTCCGCGGTCCGAGCCCACGCCGGGGGCGGCCCGGGGGCTGCGGCCGCCCGGGAGCTCCGCGGAGCCGCCCGCCTGCCGCGGGCGGGGGCGCCGGGCCGGCCGGGAAGAGGATCCCGGCTCCTCGTTGCGGGAATTTACACGGATATGGTGACTATTTTATTATCCACTTAAAATATTTCAAACAGGGAGGTTACCTAAATGATAACAGGGGTGTGGTGAGGGAATTGTTCTGCTGATAATGTTTTTCTGATGACAGAAACATTATGACGGGATGCCTCAGCGTCCCTCGGAGGAGCCGGGCCAGAGCCCCCCGAGGAGTCGGGCTGGAGCACCTCTCACGGGGCAGCGGCCGGGGCCGCACGGACCCGCTGCTCTCCCGAACCACCCCAGGGGGGTCCGAGCGGGGCGCAGCCGGTCCTGGGGGGTGGGCCAGGTCCGTCCTTGCCGACTTCCCGGGGCAGCGAAGGGGCGTCCCAGTCCAGCTCTCCATCGCTCCGCATTCCCCGGTGCGGCCGATGATTCCCATCACCTTGGCGCCCCGCAGCCTCTCCGCGGAGCCGGGCCGTGCTCCCCACTGCGCCCGGAGCCAGCGGGCGGCCCGGCCCCGGCCCGGCCCGGAGTGCGGAGCGAAATGCGGGGCTGAGGGGGTGCGGGGTGTGGGAGCGCAGGACTGCGGGGGGCGGCGTGCAGCGTGCGGGGAGTGCGGGCTGCGGGGGGTGCGGGGTGCGAGGAGTGCAGGGGGCGGGGAGTGCAGGGGGTAGGGCGCAGGATTTCGGAGGGCTCGGGTTCGGGGTTCGGGGTTTGGGGTTCGGTTCTGTTCGGGGCTCGGGTTCGGGGTTCGGGCTTGGGGGTTCGGTTCTGTTCGGGGTTCGGTTCTGTTCGGGGCTCGGGGTTCGGGGTTCGGGGTTCGGGGTTCGGTTCTGTTCGGGGTTCGGGGTTCGGGGTTCGGGGTTCGGTTCTGTTCGGGGTTCTGGGTTCGGGGTTCGGGGTTCGGTTCTGTTCGGGGCTCGGGGTTCGGGGTTCGGGGTTCGGTTCTGTTGGGGGCTCGGGGGCGGGGGAGCCCCGCGGGCAGCGCCCGCCGCAACCTCTTTGTCAGAGCGGCACCTGGTGGGCACAGGCGGAACTGCAGGCGGGGACACAGCGGGGAGGGAGAGAGGGAAAAGGGGAGAGGGAAAAGGGAGAGAGGGAAAAGGGGAGGGAGGAAAAGGGGGAGAAGGAAAAGCAGGCAGCAGCGGGCAGCCCTCAGCACCTCCAGGGCATTTGGGGCGGTGGGAGCAGCTGCCCCGAGGCTTTTGCAGCCTCCAATGTAATAAAGGCTCCCAGCCCCGGAGCACAGCCAGCACCAGGAACAAGGGGATGGCCAGGTGAGAGTAGAGGGCAGTAGGTATTGATGAGAACAAATTGCAGGCTTGAAACAGGTCCTCTGGGTGGAGAAAGCCCCTGGAAGAGTGAAGTGCCATGAGGAGGCAGCAGAAAGGCTGTGCTGCACTCCCTCGCTCAGCTGCTGTGGGTGCTGACAGAGCTGTGCTCCAGCCCAGTGCCAGGGGACAACAGGGACAGGTGTCCAACAGGCAGAGGTTTGGGAACCTGGGAGAGCTGCCCTGCCCCACACACGGCAGGCTCCTCCAGCAAATACATCCACAGCTTTTTGTGCTTCATTTCTCCGATTTTTTTTTTTTCTTTATTTCTAATGTGGAAGCTAGTGATGATCTGTATAATTCAACCTCAGCTGTTTAACACAGCACACTGATATGGGACAGGTAAGGAGGAAAAAACTGTTTTCTTGGGGTTCAGGAAAAGTGGAGAATGGCAAACTTTCCTGAGAAAATAACTCACTGGACTAATCAATTACTTTCCCTTACTCTGTTCATTCCTAAAAAAGTTGTGACCTAGATGCACTTGAAGCATACATAAAATAACATTCCTGTGCAGATTACAGGAGGTAGTTTTGCTTGTTTGGCAAAGTTTCTCAGGCTTTTTAATAATTTTTAAAATGCTGTAACCTTAAATCATCCATTCAACCACAATGTCTTTTAGTGGCCTGTAGTAACTAATCCTTACCTACCCTGATAGGGTCTGCATATCCAGCTTCCTTTTTTACACTGTGTCTTCATATTACTTCTAATAAATAGATTTTAATATCTGCATAATAAAATAAATATGAGGCATTGTGATATCTGATTCTACTTCTCTTTAGAGTAATAAGTTACAGGCAAGTTGGTAAATTAACACAAAACTTAGAATAACAATTAGAGATTAAAGACAGAACAGTAGGAATCAGGAAATTGCCTGTGGCAAGAGAAATTAACTCAAAACCTTGCTCTAAAAGGATTTAAAATAAATCCCAGAGCTCGTGGATGGAGGCTCCTCCCAGTGCCTAAAGGGGGAGGCTGGAGGGGGCATTTCCACAAGGGCTGGGGGTGACAGGGCAGGGGGAAATGTCCTTAAGCTGAAGGAGGCCAGCTTTAGATGGGATTTTGGGAGGAAATTGTTCCCTGGCAGGGTGGGCACAGGTGCCCAGAGCAGCTGTGGCTGCCCCTGGATCCCTGGCAGTGTCCAGGGCCAGGCTGGACAGGGGTGGGAGCACCTGGGACAGTGGAAGGTGTCCCTGCCCATGGCCAGTATTGGAACATGATCATTAAGGTCCCTTCCCAGCCAAACCATCTCATGATTCCCGGGTGCCTGGCAGTTTCTGATCATGACCAGAGCCGTGGGGCTCTCCTGAGATGCTTCATGCTGTGAGAAACACACCCCAAGCGGAGCAAATAGTTTTATTCCAGATACAATCTCTCTGCTCTCACCTTTTACTACCAATGTCTTTATTTAGCAGCAGCAACGTTCTTCTGAACAAAGCCTGGGCCCAAGCTGCACCCTGGAGCAATCCATCACTTGTTGCCACAATGGTGTTTCTATTGTTAATTGTTTGTCAGGGCAGCTTTTTGGGGTTAGACAGTGCAGTGATTTAGTATGGCAGCTAATCAGCTCTGAAAATATATTCTCAAAATAAATTAGATCAAAAAAAAAAAAACCAGCTTGAAAAGTCTATTGGTCTGGATGCAATCCTTTGGGACTGCTGAGCTCCCTCACAAAGCCCCAGCTGGTCTGGGAGCTCCAGAGGTTCAGTGCTGCTCTGCTCCCATGGAGCTGGGTGAGGAGATCTGCACAGCACACACTGCTCTGTGTGCTTCTGGTCAGGGTTATTAATGGCTCATTTTTCATAAGCATAAAGAAATACAAGAAACATCCCCATCTAAAATGAAAAAGAAAGGTTGCCTGTCTTTTTTTTTTCTTTTTTCCTTTTTTTTTTTTTTATTTTAAGATGGCCTCTGATAACAGGAATTCACAAGGGAAAATGTGGTTAAAAGCCCATTTTGTAACTAGATCCTAGATGCACATACCATCAATACTCCAACTCTGGCTCCCTTTTATCAGGCTAATCATAGCTGCACTGTTTTGTCAAAACATCTCCTGTAGAAGTCAGACCAGAGCGTCCTTTCAGTAGCAAAAATGTGAGGTTAATATACCAACTCTCCCTGTATTAAGAATCTCCTGCCTCCTAAAAGCGCATGGGAAAAAAGATACTATAAATAAATAAATAACATTCACAAAGCCAGGTAATTTCCTGGGCTCTTCTTGGCCCACTGCTGATAAGTGCCACTGTCAGCAGTGAGCCACGGTGACTGCCCAGCTCCGCCGTGGGGCTGCAGAAGGAGCAATCCAATGCTGCAGAGCTGCAGAAGGAGCAACCCAATGCTGCAGAGCTGCAGAAGGAGCAATCCAATGCTGCAGAGCTGTTCCCTCAGTGGAGCCCATGAGGGACAGAGCCAGGCAGGGTGAGAGCTGCCTGCCCTGCCTGGCAGGACTGAGCACAGCACCTTCCCTGCCAGGCTGGGCACTGTGGCAGCACAGAGGTGCTGTGTGCCCTGCTGGGATCCCCTTCTGACCATCCATGCCGTGACACTGGCACTGTGAGCTCAGGCCAGCGGTCAGAGAGCCCAGGACACCCCTGAGAGGGCAGCTCTGAGCCCAATCCCACCCAGGGGAGCTCAAGGTTGGCCCCCAAGCCAGGCACAGGGACACCCCAATGTGGCATTCACATGCTCTGGACAGAGGGACACAGTCCTGTCTCTCAGGAGAAGCACAGAGAGAAGAAGAGAATACAATCTTTATCTCTGCTCCTTTGTTTTCCCCATGTGGAATGTGGTGTGGGGATTTTTTACGTGCAGGGATTGCTGGGTTGGATTCTGGTGAAGGGTGTTTGGGGTCAGTGACCAATGGGACCCAGCTGTGGCTCGGGCTCTCAGCAGAGAATCACGAGTTTGACTTAGGTAAGTAAAATGTCAGTATATAGAATAATATAGTATCTCTTTGAATAGTATATTAATATAATATAGTATAGTTTTAATAAAGCTATCCTTCAGCCTTCTGATCTGGAGCCAGACACCATCATTTCTTCCCTGGATCCGGGGCTCACTGCATTTTTCACTCTACCCCACAGTCAGTGCATCCAGGGAGCAGAAGGAGTTTGGGCAAGCACAGGTGCCTGGCACCCAACTACCTGCAGCTTCATCTGATTGGGAACTGACAGGCTCAGAGGGCTTGGGGGTGTGATGGGGACGGGGATGGATGATCAGAAGTCAGTAGAAGATTTGGGATGAGGAAAGAGGCGCTCTGATTGCAGCATTTGAGTTTTACTGACTGTTCAGTGGTGTGGGAGATGCAGCTTGTTCGTGGTGCAGTGCTGTTCAGCACCAGGCAGGCTCTCCTCTGGCACAGCCTCCAACATATCTTGTGGCTTTTGCAGCTGGACATGGCCTCAGAAGCTCCTGAAAACATGGTCCAGGGTTTCCCTAGGTTTGAGTTTGCTCAGATGTTTTAATCCAAGTACAAATAAAGGAATACTTCACATCCAAACCAAAGTAATGGCTTGTTAAACTGCTCCGAGCCAGAGCTGCTGAGCTCCATCCAGCCTGGCTTCCCAGGTAGGGTCATATGGTTCTGTCTGACAGCTGAGGATGTCTGCACGAAACCATGACCATCAATTCTAAAAAACCAGTGTTAAAAACCACAGGAGAACCTGGAGGTTGTTCCTGTGCTGCTGTGCCAATCCCTCTGTCTGTGCCTCTGCAGCAGCTGTGGCTGCACCCAGTGGTGTCCCCGGCTCCTGTGGCACACTCAGGCTCACCCTGGGCTGCTGCTGGGGCTGGGTCCCAAACTGGGATTGGGATCAGCCCTGCTGCCCTGCAGGCTGTGCCCCCCTCCCCTGGTACCCCCTGGAGTTTGGACCCTGCCTTGGTGCACACACCAGGGAAGGAACTAATCATTCATACATGTGAAGAAAATTCTCTCTCCAACAGAAGGAGCAACTCAACATCAACTCAACATCAGTAGCAGAACCGGAGAAATAAACTTCTTTGCACTGTCTGGTCCCTCAAGGAATGTGCAAGTGTCACCAGATGCCCACTGCACATCACTCAGTGACTTCCAGATCCACAGGGGCTCGTTTCTTTCTTTTTGTTTACCCTTTATTCCCTGACAGGCATAAACACAGCTATTTGCTCTCAGGGATGGTGCTCATCCAGACTTTTTTTTATTATTCATTTTCTGCACAGCTGCTTTGGGAGACTTTCCACCCCATAATGTGTTACTTGTTGCAAACACACTGAGGAATATGTGGTATTTACAAAAAAATAATATTCCTTCATTATCACAACATGCACTTAGACGAACACTATTTTTGCCTTTTTTTTGTTTTTTTTTTAAAGATATGATATTTCCTTTACATGTTTATTAATGGACACAAAGGTGAAAAGATGAACTGTCAAAGCAGATTATTCATTGCCAAAGAAAGGTCTTAAACACCATGGATCTGATCCAGAAAACACGACACAGTCTTCCAGGCAGTGTAAGAAGCAGACAGCTGTGGATGCTGTTAGAAGAAGGTTCCAAAGCCATCAGGATCTTCCCAAGGCTCAGGGAGGTGCAGCAGCAAGAGCACGTGTGGAGGGAAGGGAGCTGGGCTGCAAAACTGGACGTGGATGGTCACCCTTGCTGCCTGTGGCCCTGCAGGAGCCTTTGGGTGCCAAAAGCTGCTGGGAGCCAGGTGCTGGCCATGGGAAACTGAGCTCAGGCAGCTGCTCCAGCGTGGGGACTGGGAGGGGAGGAGGGGGAGGCAGAGCTGTGCTGGGCACTGCACACCGCAGGGCTGGCACTGAGAGCGGGACACTGCAGGAACACTGGGCACCGAGAGCTGGGCTCTGGGCACTGAGAGCTGGGCACTGGGCACTGGGAGCTGGGCACTGAGAGCTGGAAACAGCACTGAGAGCTGGGCACTGGGCACTGCAGGATCACTGGGCACTGAGAGCTGGGCATGAGAGCTGGGCACTGAGAGCTGGGCATGAGAGCTGGGCTCTGGGCACTGCAGGATCACTGGGCACTGAGAGCTGGGCACTGGGCACTGAGAGCTGGGCTCTGGGCACTGAGAGCTGGAAACAGCACTGAGAGCTGGGCACTGGGCACTGAGAGCTGGGCATGAGAGCTGGGCACTGAGAGCTGGGCACTGGGCACTGAGAGCTGGGCACTGAGAGCTGGGCACTGGGCACTGAGAGCTGGGCACTGAGAGCTGGGCACTGGGCACTGAGAGCTGGGCACTGGGCACTGGGCACTGCAGGATCACTGGGCACTGGGCACTGGCACTCTGAGAGCAGCACCCTGAGCTGTTCTGGCTGGCCAGGCTGGCTGGGTGATGTCCCAGCACGTGTGGCTGGGTGGGACCAGCCTGGACAACAAGGGTGGTGTCCATTCCCCGGCCATGGCAGGGAGGAGTCCTGCAGCCCTGTGTGGAAGGGGTAACAAATAGCATGAGGAAATCATGTGGAGAGGAGGGGAAGCAAACTCATGGCCATGGCAGGAAGGAGAGAAAGGGTGGAGAAAGTGGAATGATGGGGAGGAGGGCACAGAAAGACACAAGTCCACGTTATGTGGTGATGAAGTCTGACCTTGGGCTGAAGCGTATTTACAAATCTGACAATCAAAAGAAAACATTTTGAGACTCTGACTAGATTAATATCTCTATATAACTATAATTAAAATGAGAGAACTCAAACCCTGTCTTTTTCCAAAACAAAAATTCCCTTTTACATCTATTCAAAGATTTGAGATGCACTTTTACAAGGCTGATGTCAAATGTCAATAGAAATGCACGAGGCCATGGTGATATCATGGTGTGAGAGAGTCACGAGCAAAGCATGTAAACTTTATGAAATATTGTCTTTTTTTTTCCCTTCCGTTTTGGCCATTGCCTAAACTAGAACCATAAAATTCATCTTAAAATAGCACTGCTGGTTAAAAAAAAAAAAAAAAAAAAAAAAGGAAAAGTACTGAACTGGATTTTGTTTTCCAGCCAAGTTTGTCCAAACAGTTTGCTAATAGGACAGCTTTGGGGCAATTCTGGGAACCCTATGAAAGTGGATTGTATTTTATTGCAGATATCAGAGGTCTTATCAATAATCTCCTGTCTCCCTGCAAAGCCGGGAACATTTCCCTATCTACCTGTGCAGCGATAAATATTATGTCCAGATGAAGGGCAAAATAGTCTTGCATTCAAGCTTTCGTTTTAAAGGATGTAAATAGCATTAATTGATTTGCCAAAAATGCCTTCGTGGGAAACACTTGACTGGTGTGACTCCTGGTTTTGGAGAGGTTGCCTGTGCAGACATTTCCAGCACACCTGGTGTCTTCAGCCATGCAGTCACACATCCCCAAACAGCGGCTGTGGGGTGAACACTTCAGGGGTTTGGAACAGCAGCGAGCTCTGGGATGGAGCAGGGTGTGGTAGGACACGAGGGAAATCAAGGGCCTTTCATACATCTGATACAGCTTAAAGAAAGGAGATGCTAAAGTATGTTAGTGAAGGGGAAACTGCAGAATTCAAGGTTAAATGGGAACAGCTAAACATAATTAGAATTCAAAGGGATGAAGGAAGGGTGAAAGACAGTGAGATGTCAGGGAGATGCTGTTGGAAGGGAAAACAGAGCAGTGTCCTCCTGGAGACGTGAGGAAAACCAGCCAGCTCACATTTCCTGGGAGAACAGGGGAGCCAGGAGAGAGCCACAAGTGAGAAATTGCATCAGATGGAGTTGCAGATACGTTTCTTCAGATGCAGCTGGATCTTACAGCTGTGTAGTTGGAAAGGTAATGGTACAGAGGTAGAGAGAATGAATTTTCTGCTGTGTTAAAAGCTCCAGGGGGATAAAAAGCAGTGAAATTCAGTTAATAGGCCAGAGTCTGGGAGAACAGGATAGACTGGGCTGAAATGAAGCTTGAAAGCAAATGAACAATTTTCAAATTGAGAAAAGGACAGGGAGGAGAGGTTTGCAAACAGAGGAGGAGAGGAAAACTAATTGAATTATCTGGATTAGCAGTGAGCAAAACACACTGCACATGACAATTCACACAGCAGAGGCGAGGAAGAGCAGTGCTAAGAGCAGAATATTGCAGAATGAACCATTTCAGGATGCCTGAGTCCAACAGGGCTGAGCTCAGCTGAAGGAGTGAGGAGATGTCGATGTGAGGAGCTGGTTGTGCTGTCACTGCAGAACCTGAGAGCGCCACACAGGAGTGTGTGGGAGTCTGGGAGGAGCAGGGAGAGCCTTGGATGGAGCATGGAGGGGATGGGAGAGGCTGGGCAGGAGCAGGGAGAGCCTTGGATGGAGCATGGAGGGGATGGGAGAGGCTGGGCAGGAGCAGGGAGAGCCTTGGATGGAGCATGGAGGGAATGGGAGAGGCTGGGCAGGAGCAGGGGCTCAGAATCAGGGGAACACGAGGGATCCCCAACCATTTGGTCCATGTCACTCCCGACCCAGACAGCTCAGAGGAAGGAAGGTGCTGGAAGAGGAGGAGAGCCCAGGTGAGGTGCTGAGACCTGGAGGCTGTGCCGGGGCCGGGAGAGCACACGGAGCCCACGAAGGGCCGGGGGAAGAGGGAAAAGGAGGAGGAGGAGGAGGAGGGTGGCACCGGGGGACAGGGCGGAGGGTGGGACCCCGGCGGGACAGGGACACGACCCAGAGGCGGCAGAGGAAGGGATGAGGAGCACGGGGGGCAGAGGATAGGCTTGGCACGGAAAATGGGAGGGCCCGAAGCAGATAAGGGTGCCGGAGCTGCGGGACAGGGGTGAGGTCAGAGGCGGCGGTGCCACAGCGCAGAGCAGCCGCAGCTCTGCCCGCGGCTCCGGCTCCAGCCCCGCGCTGCCCTGAGCAGCGCTGATCATTACACACTCCGCTGCTGCTATTTTGGCTCTGTGACTTCAGATGCTGTAATCTGAGGCTGCCGTGAGCTCAGCCTTGCAGCAAGGATAACTCTGAGGCACAGGGATGCTTTTGGGGGTGACACGTCAGAAAGCTGTTCCCAAGCTCCGTTTGTAATCCTGCCACTCCTCTCATCCATCACCAGGCGAGCACAAAACCGGCGGTGTGCTTCCTGCTGGAGTGTTGGGAATGTTCAAAGGCAAAGTGCACTATTGTTTGATAGCCAATTATTCACTGGCATTGATAAACAGGCTCTGCCCGCGATTACTGATGCAATTACTCACTCTCCTAATTTAGACACAAGGAAAAATTAATTCAAGCTTCCAGTTGATCATTTGTATCTTTGGCTTTTGTAATACACATCACAGTATGCTGAAAACAACTCCACCATAAAGGAAACTGATCTGTCCAAATTGATAAGGTGTTTTACTCCCATTCTGTCACTGAGGGAGGCATGACTGAGTCCAAGCTGAAGGGCTGTGGCTCAAGGTGGGTTTTTTTATTCTTTGGAAACATAAAAAAAATTAAAATAATTTTGTTAAACCTCAAATTAAAAACAGAAGGGAGGGATGTTACTACAATCAAACGAAAACTCTGTGTACAGCTAAG